CGGCAGAAGTGTGCCTTGAAAGGCCATCAAAACGTGTGTGTGTGTGAAGATGTTGACCTTGTCCAATCTGGCAACCCTTCCAGCACTTCAGAGTCGCACTGTCTGGCTGCTAACTGCGACCCACCCCCCCCCCCGCCCCCCCCCCCCCCCCCCCCCCCTTCATCTTAAAACCCCCCCCATCTGTGTCTGTGTGTGTGTTCTAAAGTGAACCAAAAAAATCAGGTGCGTTGTGTTCCAAAGTGATCTCGCTTTTTGCTAACCCTTCCATGTTTTTGTGCGCTTTGTGTTCCAAAGTGACCCATGTTTTGTGTTCCAAAGCGAACTAAAACCCTGTGTTCCAAAGTGAACTAAAACTTGTGTTCTGAAGTGACCCCGCTTCCTGCAGAAGCGCAGGCTCACAAGATAAATTCAAAGCAAACACTCACACAACAAGTATCAGGCTCGTAAAATGCCAGATTTTTGAAACATATTCCATATGCCCCTGAAATTATTCCATGTACCGTTCTTTAAGTTTCAAAAATCTGGCCCTATAAAGTTCCGGAACGTCCAAAACATATTCTATCTACTTAAGGAAGATTATATATATATACATCATGTTGCCCAAGTTTCGCCAGAGGTAGTCCGTTTGCTCACACGCATGGACGAGAGCGAGGAGCTGCCCCGAGCGTCACCCCTGCGTGTTTGGCATTCTTTTGCCAGTCATCGAAAGTGCCATACTCACCTGACAGTCGTGAACACAAAGTGAGGGTGAACATAGCTTTTGTAATAGCCACCAGGGTTTTTCTTTTGCAAAACTGCTGCATCATAGCCCCGTAGCCTAGCAGAAGACCATGACAAAGCTGTTCTACATACAGCAGACCTGTCTTGGGGTGATTGTCTCACCTTTCGCGTCAGGCAGGTCTACGGCGCCTGAATCTTAGGAAGTGCATGGAAGTTCTGTGAGAGAGAGAGAGAGCGAGAGCATGTGTTGAGTAGTTGAAGCGTTTGCATCAAATCATGTCGCCGGGCCGAAGACAATTCAGAGCTCAAGATAGAACTATGTCATGTGTCCAGAACCGTCGATCAGAATATGTGGGCCTGGAACCTGCGCAGAGGAAAGTCATAGAAGATGCAGGATACTTTTGAAATCAACTTGTTGGCTCACTCATTTTATCCCCAGCCATTGGCCATGACATGCCACGACTCATCTTCACTTCGGCATACGGCCAACGTCCAGACGTCCAGTGCCAAGTGCTCCAAACGTGTGCCATGCCGAGGGTCCGATGCCAAGCTCCCGCTCGATGTTGGAAGGTTTTTGCAATGGCCTCCCACCTAATAGCGATGGCCTCCAACTAAGGGCGTGTTCTCCAATGTTGCGGAGTCAGCTGGTTATGTCTCCGAGCCACGTGAGAAAAAAGTTGTCAAGAGTACTGAGGAGCTCTTGTCATGATCGGCACCGATTCAACAACAAAAAGCGAAAAAAGCTGCATTGGAAAACTGTTTTGCATTCATGAGATGCATCAACCTGTGAAGGAGCCTCCTGCTTCGCAGGCGTCGCCCCTGGCCTTCGCTGCGCGCATAGGACGCTCAGGTTGCATTTGCCTGAGGGTTGGTCATATTCATGCCTTAGGTCATGGTTATAGTTACAATATACTGTAAACCTTTTGCCGCTCTTTTTGGCCATTGATTCCGATGTAGGACACATCCATTGTTGCTAGCCTGGTCACATTTCCTTTTCCTGATTCTGTTGGAGAATGGTGGTATAAGGTAGTATATGTTTTCCTCGTCAATCATAAGTTGCATGTATGTAACTGTTTGTGTTTATGTATGTGCTGGCAGGCTCCAGGGTTGGTCGACAGTCTGATATTGAGAGGTTCTCAAGATGCAACAGGAGGTTCAGCCCATTCAACAAATGAGACCTTGTGATAGCTTCTTGTCACTAGTAGTAAGGCCAAGAGCTACTAGTAGCGTCCTCTAGCTCCTAGTAGCGATGCCCTTTGTTACTAGTAACTTCTTGCTACGAATGGCCGAACAACTGAGGTGACCTTGTCGAAGTGAAACGTCTCCTTGACGCCAAGTCAGATCCCAACTCAACAGACGCAGCGGGGTTCCTACAACGGACGCTTCGAGCTTTGACTCCTGATGTTGTTCCATGCCAATGAGCTGTGTACAGGCCCAGGTTATAGTTTCGCCCCCCTGGGAATCATCGTCATTTGATGCCAACGAGCAACCTGCACCAGCTGGCAGCTGGCAACATTGCTGGCATTGCATTGCTACACAGACTTGTTACTGGCACGCGTTCGCACAAGCATGCCAACATCGTACACACTTGGACAAGGGTTCACCCAATGCCATAATCCACAGTGAAAGGTGGCTGAGCCCGCGGGAGCAGAATGTTTGAACAGCGGTGGGGTGGTTTCACTTGACTGCAGAGACACTCAGCGGCGACGCAGCTGACTCAGCGGCGACGCAGCTGCAAATCCGCCAAGAGAAGGTTTGGGGAGATAAACAAAAAACGTGGGAACAGTGGAGTCAGTGTGTTGTCGAGCAGGTGAAGGATCAAGCGTCCTTGATCCCTTCCCATCTGTGGTCGTAGCCTCGTTGCCGGCAGTGGACCACAGATGCTGCACGCCCCTGCTTTTTGAGAAAATTAGCCCCCTGGAAACGGAGGGGGAAACACACACAGCGCCGCATAGCGGCGCTCACTCCGGCAGAAATCTCCGAATAGCCACCTAACGAGCCTTAGAAAAAGAAAAGGAAAAAGAGAAAGCAACAAGAAAAGGGCAAGAAGGAAAGATAGATAGGTGTAGGGGCACGCATGTCGGCCGAACGAACGGCCAATTACGGAATCAAAGCCTGAATAGTCGCCTAACAAGCCTTAGAAAGGAAAGAAAGACAGAAAAAACAAGACGAAGAGGGAAGGTAAGACAGGCGTAAGGCCATGCATGTCTGCCGAACGAACTGCAAATTATGGAATCAAAGCCTGAATAGCCACAACAAGCCTTAGAAAGGAAAGAAAGACAGAAAGAGAAAAACGAAGAGGGCAAGAGAGAAAGGTAGGTGTAGCAAAACAGTGCAAAGCCGAGGGGCAGGGAAACGAGCCTCAAGAACAACCTAACAAGCCTGAAGTGAAGAAACACCTAACAAACGAAGAGACCGCAAGAAGAAAAGAGGGGAGGGTTTTTTTGGGGCTCATCCTCCGTAAGCTTGGCAGCTTAAGTGTCCGTTAGCGCGGCAGCTTGTTGTCAGTTGATTTATGGGTGAAACAAAATCAATCCCAAATCATAATCCACGAACTCAAGACGTTGAATTAAAGTGGGATTCACCATGGCGTCCGCGCCTCTCTTGCGAGAGGGTCACACTGTGCACCCAGGTGGGAAAACACAGCGAGTCACACTTAGACAAGGTTCACCCAATGCCATAGTCCACAGTGAAAGGTGGCTGAGCCCGCGGGAGCAGAATGTTTGAACAGCGGTGGGGTGGTTTCACTTGACTGCAGAGACACTCAGCGGCGACGCAGCTGACTCAGCGGCGACGCAGCTGCAAATCCGCCAAGAGAAGGTTTGGGGAGATAAACAAAAAACCTGGGAACAGTGGAGTCAGTGTGTTGTCGAGCAGGTGCAGGATCAAGCGTCCTTGATCCCTTCCCATCTGTGGTCGTAGCTTCGTTGCGTGCAGGGCCACAGATGCTGCACGCCCCTGCTTTTTGAGAAAATTAGCCCCCTGGAAACGGAGGGGGGAACACACACACACACTCTGACATTGGTTTGCTGTTAACTCAATTCCCAGGTCGAAAATGGTGAAGGAACGGCAAGGTGAAAGGTCCAAAGATTTGAAGGTGTTTCAACAAATGGTTTGTGCACATCTGCAGATCACGAGAACGGCGGTGTCGAGCGATCAGCGTGGCTGCACATCTGCGGTGGAAAAGGGTTTGGGGGTCTATCATGCAAGGACCATGGAATCAAACAAGGAAAGATTGGAGTCACAGCTTGGTCAAAGGTTGAAGCAGGTACACATCAGGACGTCTCCCGATGCATCACCAGAGAATGTGGACGTCTTCGTTGGCAGTGATTCCACAGACTCTGTCACTGCCCCCTGCCTGGAAACATCGGAACCCTTAGGTACAGGGGTTGACACACACACACACACACGGTGCCGCTTGGCGGCGCTCGTGCGAACGACCTGAATAGGCACCTAAAAAGCCTTAGAAACAAAAGAAAGAAACGCAGAAAGAGCAGCGCTAAGAGGGCAAGAGAGAAAGATAGGCGTAGAAAAAAGGTGAATACTTAGCACTTGACTGGGGCAGGGAAACGAGCCTCAAGAACAACCTAAAAAGCCTGAGAGAAAGCCCAAGAAACGACCGAAAGCGTAAGAAAGAAAGGGGGGGGGGGCAGGGAGGGGGTGTATGTAGCATGTGTGTGTCCGTGTGTGTGTGTGTGTATGACTACTTAGCACTCTAGAGTTACTGACTACTTAGCCGAGGCGAATTAAATGCAATAGTTAGGGAACGGAACAGGAACAACAAAGGGAAAGGCACTGACACACAAGTGTGTCGAGTACCATTTCCCTGTGTTGCCCTAATTAGGTGGGGAGTAGAACTCGGCGGGGGGGGGGAAGGGATGTGGGAAACATGACTGACCTCAAGTGGAATTCCGTTTTTTAGCCCGGCGGCTATGGTTGTTCACCGTGAAAGCCCGGCGGCTCTTTGTTCAGACAATTCAGAAGTGAAACAAGAAAGGTTAAGAAAATCCAAGGTTTGGTGGATACGGTCAAGGCAGTTACACGAGTTCCGGTATGAAAACAGCGCCTCCTTGCGGAGGATCACACCCAGCGCCCAAGTGGGACGGCTGAGCGGTTCACACTCTGACATTGGTTTGCTGTTAACTCAATTCCCAGGTCGAAAATGGTGAAGGAACGGCAAGGTGAAAGGTCCAAAGATTTGAAGGTGTTTCAACAAATGGTTTGTGCACATCTGCAGATCACGAGAACGGCGGTGTCGAGCGATCAGCGTGGCTGCGCATCTGCGGTGGAAAAGGGTTTGGGGGTCTATCATGCAAGGACCATGGAATCAAACAAGGAAAGATTGGAGTCACACCAAGCTCAAAGGTTGAAGCAGGTACGCATCAGGACGTCTCCCGATGCATCACCAGAGAATGTGGACGTCTTCGTTGGCAGTGATTCCACAGACTCTGTCACTGCCCCCTGCTTGGAAACATCGGAACCCTTAGGTACAGGGGTTGACACACACACACACACACACTGGGCCAGATTTTTTCGGGGGACCTTGGCTCGACCGCAAATCTTTGGTTTTCGTGCTTTTTGTTGTGCTCAAGGTGGGGGAGACGCCAGTCTTTGAGGCAGCGGCTAGCGGCAACGTTAGCGTGACTTGGTTGTGTTGGATCCATCGCAACTCACTTCCACGTCTGTTGCAGTGCTGACCGAGACTGCTCTCAGGTACTAGCTACCCTGCTTTTGGCTGGTGCTGATCCTGAGCACCAGTCTTTGATAGGTTCTGTGCCCGCTGATCTTTGCTCTAGCAAGGCGGGCCGCTTCATGGAGAGCATTTGTGATTGAGGTGTCTTCTTCAAACATGTTCTAGGCCTTTCGGGCCAAACTGGAGTCAAGGAATTCGCCAGGCCTGTGCGACACTGCTGCGCCTTTGTGGTGGCGAAGAGGCTCAGATGTCTGCGCATTACTGCGCACTACTGCGCCAAATGCATTTCTTCCCTGAGATCACTGCAAAGATGGCCACAATTTCTGTTGACCACCTCCCTGTAGTGAGAGGTTAGCGTCGAGGAGCGTGAAGTGGTCCTCAGAACCCTTACCGCCAACCTGCGGCCGCCCATCCGGTGGGAAGACCCAGAACGGATCAGTGCTAATCTAGGAATCTGGGACAAAATTGTTTGACCTTCCAGGTGCTGGGCATGGTTGCAAGAAGCTACTAGTAGCAAAGAGCATTTCTACTAGGACAAGGAGCAAGGTCGCTACTAGTAGCTCCTGGCCCTACTAGGAACAAAGGGCGTCGCTACTAGGAACAAGAAGCTACAAGTAGTTCCCGGGCAAGCCGGCGGCGGAAGTTTCCTATAAGAACAAATTGACCTATAGGAGTGTCCCGGTTCTTTCTTTCCACGTGTCCCTCGTGTCCCTCAGTCAGACGCACGCGCTCCGGACTTTTGACCAACACAGCGCCACCTGTGCAAGGTCTGTGCTCCCTGATGTACTAAAGTTGTACTACAAAGTCGCGCACTAAAGTTGCACTACAAAGTCGCCAGTTGTCAGCTTCCAGCTCTCAAGGTTCCTCCGCGTACTACAGCTGTACTATAAAGTCGCCAGTTCTCAGCCTCCGCCTCGCCAGATTACTCCGCGCACCAAAGTTGTACTACAAAGTCGCCAGTTCTCAGCCTCCAGCTCCCCAGCCTACTCCACGTACTAAAGTTGTACTACAAAGTCACCAGTTCTCAGCCTGCGCATGGAGGTTCACAAAGTGCTGTGCCTGCCACGAAATCTCCACCTCGAGGTTCACAAAGTGCTGTGCCTGCCACGAACTCTGGCACATGGAGGTTCACAAAGTGCTGTGCCTGCCACGAAATCTCCACATGGAGGTTCACAAAGTGCTGTGCCTGCCACGAACTTTGCGCATGGAGGTTCACAAAGTGCTGTGCCTACCACGAAATCTACACATGGATCTTCACAAAGTGCTGTGCCTGCCACGAAATCAAATCTGCACCTCGAGGTTCACAAAATGCTTGCACCTGCCACGAATTCTGCACATGGAGGTTGACAAAGTGCTGCGCCTGCCACGAAATCTGCACATGGAGGTTCACAAAGTGCTGTGCCTGCCACGAAATCTGCACATGGAGGTTCACAAAGTGCTGCACCTGCCACGAAATCTGCAGCTAGAGCTATTGAAACTAGAGCTAACTGGAGCTAGAGCTCTTAAAGCTAGAGCTACCTGGAGCTAGAGCTATTGAAACTAGAGCTACCTGGAGCTAGAGCTCTTGCAACTAGAGCTAACTGGAGCTAGAGCTCTTGAAACTAGAGCTAACTGGATGATGAGTGGTGTATGATGAGTGGTGTATTGAACAGCTGTTGAATGTCCGTAACACGGAAGTTTTGCACACTAAACTATTAAACTTCCTTTGATTGGTAGCTCCTGGCATCGCTACTAGTAGCATTCTCGCTACTAGGAACAAAGGGTGCTCCCTGTGCTTTCGGTTTTCGTCAGGAATCCAAAGCTGGGTGACCGGTTGTCCAACCTGACCATTTGACGGCAACACAATCGCGTGACAATTGCTGACTGCCAGCACAAAGAAAGAAGAGGCACAAACAGGATCAAACAGGTATATATAATATAATGTTAGAACCATAGATGAGTATATATAATATATATATAAATACTGTACACACACACACACATATATATATATAGACCCTAGGATGCCCTAGGGCCAAGGACCGCCAGTGCAATCGATTGCATAACTGAAGGCTCCTTTAAGTCTGGGCCGGGAGTCGTGCCAATTTTTTTTCCCTGGTCAGCTGGTGGTTTTTGCGTAGGTCGTTTATGCAGAGCCTCAGTGGCGAAGAGAGCGATGAGGACGCTTTCGAACTGTTTCTAGAGGCAGAGTGGAGCCGTTTTCTCGTGCGCGAAGGACAAACTTAACAACTTGGACATCGACTTTGACAAGCCGCCAAAGCTCATAAGAAAAAACTACGATGACGATGATGGTGATGACTGGACCTTTGCAGCGCCCTGGAAAATTCTTTGGAATCAATCATGTGTTAAGTACTTACACTCGCGGCTGGCATACATGCACTCCCCAGTCCAAGAAATGCCAGGCCGCCATGGTGGAGCAAGCACGAAAGTCCAGGGCCAAACAGCGCTACAAACGGCCCGTGAAGGTCGAGCAGATTGAACTGGTAGTTCCTGCACTGCACATAGCCACGTTACTGTTCACTGGTGTGGCAAAACAACGACTGTCGGACGTCCAAGGTGAGCCATGCACTGAATAACAAGCAGATCACCCTGAAGCTGATGAGCTACTTTGGCACATTTTTGGCACACCAAATTCCTAAAAGTAAGATGAAGTAGGTTCCTTCGTTTGTGACGCCAGCATGCTGAACACGCAGAGGCAACAGCACCTTCGCCAATGCGAAAGAAGCTATCCTCGAGCGTATGCGGGAAGAGGGTAAGTTCTGCAGAAAGTTCTATTTTGCGACAAACTTAGTGATGCAGGTCCTACAGAGTCAATGTGGAGTTCTGATCACATTGTCGGCTGGTGGGCTGCTGTTGTCAAGACTCAGGTGAAAAAGGAACGCAGCACATACCAGGCCTACAAGGATCGGCCCGAGATGAGAGATGACCACCAGGAATGTAGTTAGTCGCAGCCACGCCTGGCATTCGGTAGCCGACACCAGGATGGAGACATTCAACTGTGAGGGTTCAGTGGCTGCCTTGTCCACACCCGCAGAACACTAAATTAGAGTTAGTTACAGTAGGCTTGAAGACCAAGCCGACCCACTCCCAGACCACCCGAAAGTGCTCATTGGACTAACTCAAGTGGTATCAGAGTTGCCCAGAATAGCTCACTCAGAGCTTAAGCCTTAAGCATAATAGCCACGAGTAAGCGAGAATAGACTATAAAAATTTATAACCTTGGGCACTCAGTGTTTACTTCAGTGAGAAGGCCAGAGTCAGGCCCAGAGCATCGTGCAGGCGACCTTTTTAATAATACCGAATAATACCTACAGTGGCACAAGTTTCCGAAGCAATTTCGTTGGAATCATTGGATACGCTGAACGGCAGCGGATACCTTTGAAGTTCAGTTCCTGCCAGGATTCAGACCCGATTGGTCACATCCGAGAGGCGTGGGTATGCCGGGGCACTTGTTGCGAGACTGCGGGACATGCCACCCAGGTCAGACTTGTTGGTGCAGATCTCCCTTTGGAGACTAATGCCGGGGCGCTTCTATTTGGCGATTGAGCTGCTCAAAGAGGGGGTAGTGTGCATTTGCTTGTCACTACCTCAAGCCAAACTCTTGATTTATGCTACCTTTTGTTTTCGATACGCGATCACATGAGCTGTGCGCCTGAAGATCTTTTCTTCTCAGGCATGGGCTTTGTTGTGAGTAGGTAGCCAGAAGGAAGATAAAGATAGTCTTCACAAAAACTGCAGTCCATTGCAGTCCCACGTTTTAGACAAACGGGCGGTGCTCCTTCATTCTCCTGGTGGCCCAACTTGACGTACAAGTGAAAGAACATTGATCATTGCACACATATTATACGATTATTTTTTATATTATATCACATGCAGACGGGGAGAGAGAGAGAGAGAGAATTTAAGTTTGTGCCTTGTTCCACATGGATCCCCGCAGAGGTACAAACAAAGCGGATCAGGGTCAAAGTGTATGTGTGTAAGAAGTCCTCAAGAGTGCGAATGCAATTGATATCGCCAGGGGGCGTTTTTTGGATTCATTTTTACTGACCAGGTGAAGGAAGTTACTGCTAGTTGCATGGCGGGATCGCCCCGGAAGGATTGAAGCTTTGCTTCATTCATCTTCATTCCGTCCCGCGAAGCTGTGCTTGGCTTCGCAAAGCCAGCGTAGGCTTTAAAGTTTTGCACCGAGGGCCTCAGGATTCATGAAGCTCGAGGTGCTGATCAAAAAAGGCGCTCATTCAGGGTGAAGCGGCTAGTAGTAGAAACAATGAGAATTTTTGAGAAAGCAGAGACCAGTCCGATTCTATCTACCTGTGGGTCCCTGAGCCTTCTTTGACCCTTGGTGACCAAGGCCTCGTCCTCCTTCGGCGCGCGCGTTCCTTTGGTGCTCCGCGCCTCTTCGCGCGGTGGACGCGGCGTTTTCGCCGGCACCAGTGTCAGAGAGGGCGCCGAGGTGGAAGTCTGCAGCTTGGAGGAAGTTTCCTAGTAGCGATGCCCATTGTTCCTAGTAGCGTCCTTGCTCCTAGTAGTAAGGTAAGGAGCCCCTAGTAGCGTCCTTGCTCCTAACAGTAAGGCCAGGAGCCCCTAGTAGCGTCCTTGCTCCTAGTAGTAAGGCCAGGAGCCCCTAGTAGCGTCCTTGCTAAGGCCAGGAGCCCCTAGTAGCGTCCTTGCTAAGGCCAGGAGCCCCTAGTAACCTAGTAGCGTCCTTGCTCCCAGTAGTAAGGCCAGGAGCCCCTAGTAGCGTCCTTGCTCCTACAAATGGAAGGAGCAGTGAGGGCACACTGTTCAATGGTTCACCATCCATCACATGTCATCACGTCATATTGCTAAGCCAAGAAGAACACCTTTTGCTTCAAGCAACCGGTGCCACAGTGGGTCCGCTCGCCTGGCAAAAGTCAACTGAATAGAATAGTAGGGTGTCAAGCCAAATGCCATTCAGATATTTATTTTCCTGGGCATGTAATTAGTGTCGCAGGTTGGCAACTGCAAATTGCCGACAGGTCCAGTACTGGCCTTGAAGCGCGACCACATAGCTGCTGAATGCGCTGGCATGCGCTACTTCTTCGGTGGCTTTGCCTGATTTCTGCTGATTCGGGCACAGGCTTTTTACTTCGAAGCACAGATATATAAATATATATATATACTATAGTATAGCCCGCTCAAAAAGTATAGCCCGTATGAGGGCCACATCGAAAGTACTTTGTGCTGGTGTGTTTCTAATTAATTACTGTAGACAAAGGGGCTCAAGATCCACTCTGTTAGTGCTCTCTGTTCCAGCCATGGCGGGAGAGAAGTTCAGGACCTTGGGACCTTGAGCTTGTTGATACTCTGTATGGCATGCCTGCTTGAGCGACCTCACACGCCTGATCTTGTTTGCAGAAAGCATGTCTTTATCAACAGTCTCTTCTTGGAAAGATTGTTGCCTAGCAGGAGCAAGATTGGAAACAGCTATGCCAAGAAGGACATTGAAGAGTGGCAACCCAGGCCTTTTGTGATCGATTAGTTTCCAACACTTGGAACTTGCAACCTTGTGTGACCGAGCGCCCAGGCTCAAGGCGGAACTTGCAACCTTGAAGAGAGCGGGCCAAAATCGACAGTGCTTTGATTGTGGTGCTGCTGATGTGACCTGGGCATCTCCAAAACTGGGCACCTTCATTTGTGTCACTGGACCTGCATTTTTGGAATTGGCTTGACCCAGTACCCAACACTTAAGCGGACAGCGTAGTATTTCAGTCCTCAGGTGACGTGCTCAGACATCCACAGAGCTGCTGGTGCTCACATCACATGCGTGAAGCAGAATGGCAGCACAATGCGGGATTGAGATGGCACCGTGAAGACAGACCAGGGCAAGCAATTACTCCTTCAAGAAGAACTCTATACTAGTGTGAAATGACAAAGGACTTGTGAAAAGTACCTCCAAAATTTTGTGGCTAAGTCATGAGGTTTGGCCGGGGGGTTCCGTAACTCCTATGTCATGAAGCTAAAACCTCAAAATCAGAGACGTCAGAGCATATCATCAACGATCTGTCAAATTGTTGATTTTACATTGACACGCGTTATGACCTAAGACTTTGGTATCTAAACGATGGAAAAGCACTGGAGAGATAGGAATTTGAGTGCAAAAACACATAGAGTTATAAAAAAACTTTCATTGGAAAGAGCCTGTTTTCTAAAAAAAAATGTAAACATTACTTTACTTCGAGTGATCCCCACCATGACATTTCAATCGTTTGACTTGATGCCATAGTGAGGAGCATGTTGCCATGGTCGTGAGTATTGTAGTTCTCGATTTTGCTTGTGGGTCCTCGGGTTGTGTGCTGCGGTTGTGTGCTGCGGTTGTGGTTGTGTGCTGTGTTGTGGTTGTGGTTGTGTTTGTGATTGTGTGTTTGTGGCTGTGTGTTTGTGATTGTGTGTTTGTGGATGTGTTTGCGGTTGTGCTTGTGGCTGTACGTTTGTGGTTGTGTCTTTGTGGTCGTGTTGTTGTGGTTGCGTGTTTGTGGTTGTGTGTTTGTGGTTGTGTTTGTGGTTGTGTGTTTGTGGTTGTGTTTGTGGTTGTGTTTGTAGTTGTGTGTTTGTGGTTGTGTTTGTGGTTGTGTGTTTATTGTTGTGTCTTTGTGGTTGTGTGTTTGTTGTTATGTTTGTGGTTGTGTGTGTGGTTGTGTTTGTGGTTGTGTGCTGTGGTTGTGTTTGTGATTGTGTTTGTGGTTGTGTGTTGTGGTTGTGATTGTGCTTGTGATTGTGTATTTGTGATTGTGTGTTTCTGGTTGTGTTTGTGGTTGTGTGTTTGTTGTTATGTTTGTGGTTGTGTGGAACTTGTAAAGATGTCCAATACACTAGCTCATGCAGGCCCAAAAGGCGAGGCGAGATCGGGGCGGAGGGTTCAATAACCCACTCGTGCATGGTAGCGCGGCGGGGCACGGCATTGTCTAAAGGTAAGGCTGCCGTGTCCAACAGGATCCACTTAGAAGGGCCGCAGGTGCTGAGTTGGAGCATTGCTTCAGTTGTTGTGGGTCTTGCAGTTGTGACCCATTTTGTCGGTGTTGATCAGTTGATCAGGGCAGTGTTGGACATTGGCTTGTGCATTGTGGGCTTGTTGGAACAGCATTGGTTGTTGAGCTTGTACATTGGTTGTCGCTTGGTTGAGCATTTCGTCGGTCGATTGCTTGGGAGACTGGGCGTTGGGTTGTTCTTTTTGTTGCTGTTGACTCCGACATGGCCCAACAACAAGATGCAGCTGGGATGAATGTCCAACAATTGATGCAAGCAATTCAGTCGCTGCAGCAGGGACAAACTCGATTGCAAGAACAGTTGCAGAGGAGTTTGACAGAGAGCCAACAGATGAGGGATGCCAACGTTGTGCTTACTCAGAGGCTTCAACAGGCGGAGACAGAGGTTCGACAGGTCGCTGCTGTGAATGAGGCCTTGAGGCAAGAGAGGGCCGAGAGCATGGAGGTCTTGAAGTTGATCCCCAAAGCCCTCGAATCGATCGGGGGACACAGAGATAGAAAGAACTTGTTTGATAGCAAAGGCTTGGGAAAGCCGCAGACGCTGGGCGATGAGCAAGCAGAGCTTCGTTTCAGGCTGTGGAGTATCAAACTTGAAGATTATGTAGCAGGAGTTTTTGGGGAAAAGTTCAGGGAAGCTATGCAGTGGGCTTCAGAATCAGAGGTAGAGGTAAGCAGTGCATTGTTGGCCAATACCTACGGTGAGCATGCAGATCCAAATGATGTCATTGAAGACATTGATGACATGAACACGAAGTTGTACAGTGCATTGAGGCCGACAACTGAGGGGACGCCTTTTGATGTTGTTGACAACACGTCGAGCAATAGTGGGCTTGAGGCTTGGAGATTGCTGCATAGAAAATATGATCCGGCGACAGGTGGGAGGAAACGCGTGATGCTGAATGCTCTCACTACGCCGGACCGAGCAACCTATGAGACCTTGGCTGGAGCACTGGAAAGGTGGCGGGCTTTGAGGGCCCGATACAATCGGAAGAAGGATCAGTTCGGGAAGCGTGAAGAACTTCCTGAGAGTTTAGCAATGAATGCCTTGGAGAAGCTTGTTCCGAAAGATCTGGAGCAACATTTACAGTTGAACTACACTCGCTTCAAGACATACGACCAGATGGAGGAGGAAGTTCGTGTGTTTGTGGAAGCGAAGACTGGTGCCAAGATGACCATCAGCAACAATTTCAGTCAATCGTCGAGCGAAGCAGTTCCTATGGATGTTGGAGCATTGATTGATGCCGTGAGGGGCATCAAGGACATCGGGGCTCTGATTAAGAGTTCCAAGGGTAACAAAGGCAAGGCTGGTGGGAAGGGCGCTGGAGATGGGAAGCGGGCTTGCTACTTGTGTGGCAAAACCAACCATCTGGCAAAAGATTGTTGGAGCAAGTCCTCAAAAGGAAAGGGCAAAGGAAAGGACAGTTCGTTCAAGGGCAAAGGCAAGACTTCATCCTCGAGGAGTTCATCACAGGCCTCACGTTTCCAAGGTCGGTGCAACAACTGTGGCAAAGAGGGCCACAAGGCCAAAGATTGTTGGAGCAAGGGAAGTGGAAAAGGCAAAGATGCAAAAGGGAACTCTCGAGGTGTGAACGCCTTGAATCAGGAGCCGGAGAAGGAAGCAGAAGCTGGTGGCCTAGATTTGTGTCACTTGAGTTCGGACTTGTGTGATGGTTGGCTTCGCTTGAACTATGATACAGGAGCAGCAATTACAGCATTGCCCAAAGTTTACAAGTCGGAGAGCGTGGACTCGGGTCAGAGTGACCGGCCTTTCAAGACCGCGTCGGGGGAAAGGTTGGATGA